ACTGCCATAAAACGTTACTGTTATCATCATTAACGTTTTACCTTTATCATTATCATTATCATCATGATTATACTTACTGTTGTTATTTATGTTATTATCGTGACAATATTTTTACTATTATCAACCTCCGCCTTTTTTTGGCAGCATTGGTTAGTTAGTTGTTTGTGTTTTGTTGTTTTTTGGCTAACAGGATACTCAAAAGTTATGAACGGATTGTTTGTTGTTGTTGGCTAACAGAATAACTCAAAAAGTTATGAACGATTTTAAAGAAGTTTTAGCAGAGATGTATCTAAGCCCAACACAGATGTCATTTTGGTGGCGATCTGGGTCATGATCCGGATCCAAGAATTTTCTGAATGGTTGTATCAGTTACCCCTGTTCACTTAGCGGAGGTATGCGGTCGCTGAGCACTTCTAGTCATTATACTATTTATTATCATTCATTATCATTATTATTACTTTTATCATATCATTATTATTACTTTTATCATTATAATTATTATTACTTTATATCATTTATTACTTTATTATCATAATTATTCATTATTATTGTTAATATCATTATCATCATATTATTGATCTTATTATCATTCATACCATCATTATCTATGATTTACATCATTATTTCTTATTGTATTGCATTCATTATCATCACCTATTATCCATTTTGTTATTTTTGCTATTATCATTATCATCATTATTACAGTCATGATCATTACCAATATCATCATAATCATTATTACCTTCATTATCATCATCATTAATTATCATTATCATCAGCATCATCATCAATGCCACCATGATTATCATCGTAATCTTATCATTACCGTTATTGCACCCTTCCCCCGCAGGACTCGCGATACAATGTCCCGCAGGATTCTTCGAAGCAGAAGGCGGGTGTTTCGTGGTCCACACTCAGCCTGGCAGCGACCAGACCACCCTGGACTGGGCAGGAGCAAGGACTCTCTGCCAAATGCTTTCGGATTCGACCTGGACTGTCGACTTGGCCGTGTTCGATTCCTCTGAGCAGTTGGCAGCGGTTTCGGAGGCGTGGGTCACGATCGGTACGTGTTTCGGAGCTTTACTGGTGTTCGATTCGTTCACTTTGTCTTCTTCTGTTTTATGTGTCTTGATTTTGTACCTTTTTAATGTGTAATTAATTTGTTGTAATCATCATTCAAAACCTAGAATTTGAAATAACCCGCTCCAATGCTGCTCTGGACTTACCCCGCGGTCTCATCTTGACTTTGCGCCTTCAATGCATTCTTGTCTTCCTACTTCTTTCCTTCTGTCCTTCGCCCCTTCTTTCTATCTATGCTATATTCTTTCATGTTTCCCACCTCACCCATTAGCTCCCTCCCTCATCCACTCCTTCTCTCCTGTCTCTACCTATTACCCCCCCCCTCCTCCCTCCCTAGCTCCCTCTCTGAGATTGATAAGATACCCTTAGAAGTCATGCCTCTAACCATTGTGAACCGCCAAACACGCAGTTTTCCTGTGCCATCGCCGCCGTGCTCTCCTAGCCACACCGCCCCTTCCCCCCCCCCCATGCTCATGACCTCAACCATCACCTTGACCCAACAAATCACTCTACTTCGAGTCACGCCTCCACTCAGATACTGCCTCCTCCTTGGGGCCACCACTCCAGGCACCTGCAAGGTCTACCAGCTGCCCGGGCGTATCTCTGCCCAGCATGACACTTCCATCAACCAGCATCCACACTACAACTTTCAAAAAGACTGGAACCAGATCATGCCTTCCGCTGAAGCACAAACGCGATGGGAAACCAACAGAAACGTCCTTACTGGTGGCAGCGGTGGGATATCAAATCTCTCACACCCTCTCCCCTTTCCAGTGCTTCGGCCATTCATTCTCCCTCTGACTCTACCTCCATCCCTTCCACAGGTGCCACGTACCCCTACCCCTACCCGTTCATGTGGATCGGCGTGGAGCGACAGGGCGAGACGTGGACTTGGCTCGATGGAAGACCCTTGTCGCGTTTCTCCAACATGTGGCGCATGGACTATCCTGACGAAAACTACGACACGGGCGTCTACCTCGAGGATTTCCGTCTCTCCAGCAGCGCCAACGTCTTCGGGAGGCTGTACGTCGGGAATCACGGACACAAGTGGCTGCGTCGCTACATGTGCCGGGCGAAGTAGGAGGGCGAAAGGAAGTGCTGTCTTATAAACTAAAAATAAATGTTTTGAAGTTGCTGTCTGGTTTTGTTTTAGTTTTTTTTTAATCTTCGGTGCTTTTTCTTTTATCTATTCGAATGTTCTTTCCAAAAGAAGAAGAATCAATAGTATTGCTGTTGTTATGACTATTACCATTATTATCATTTCGAATGTCACTGAGAAGCATACGAAACACATATACGCAAAGTCGAAAGATAAAAAAATCCCCGGAATCGTTTAGTAAAAGATTCTCAAATCTCCCAGGAGGGAATTCAGGCTGCCCCCCCCCTTCCCCATTCCCCCGCCTACAGAGGGATTCTTTTCAACTAATAAAGTAAATCTAGTTTTTTGTGATATCCTTATCGTGAGATTATTTACAGATGTTATCATATTGAAACACGGTTTGATTACTCATATACACATAGAAACAAATATATATTATATATATATATATATAATATATATATATATATATATATATATATATATATATGTATATATATATATATTATATATATATAATATATATTATATATATATATATGTATATGTATATATATAGTGTGTGTGTGTGTGTGATAATATATATATATATATATATATATATTTATATATAATATATATATATATATATATATATATATATATATATATATATAATATATTATATACACATGTACGTATATGTGTATGTATGTATATATGTGTATATACATATATATATATATATATATATATATATATATATATGTATATGTATGTATGTATGTATATATATACGCATATACACATTCTTACAGATATACATGTATGTGTGTGCATGTGTAACTGCATCTACACAAAAATACATAATGAAAACTTTAAATCTGATAAGGGGTATATGCAAGAGAACTTAAATTATACTGTGCAAGGATCACAAATTTACAATAAATGCCGGTTAAGTGCTAAATCTATTTCATTCTATATATATACAATATACAAATGTATATACCCATATGCATACATAAATACGCAACCATAAATACATACATACATATAATAAAAACAATGGTTCTAATTAAGAAAAAAAAAAAACAATGAGAATAATGATTACAATAACAATCATTAACATAACGATAATAACAACCATCACCAAGAACACAACAGCAATGCTAACATTAAACCTGATGAAAACGCAGTCGCTGGCTACAGGATATGAGAATCATAATTATAGTTATTATCCTGTTTCCACCTGAACTTGGAACAATACGTAATCTTGTCATTCATTGGGAAATACGCCACATGTTAACTTACGCAAATGCCATATGTACAGTTTATTCTATCTTCCCAAGTGATAGTACTATCATTTCGCTATATAGCTCACGTTCTTGGCTACGTTCAGGTCTTGTTCAGCTGAACGACGAAGGTAGTCGAGATGGGGTTCGGCGGCCGTGTTCTAGCGTGTGTTTTTGGCCTGGCTTCGGTGGTGATGGGTTATCTTTTATGTTTGTTTTGTTTACTTATTTTATGCGAATGTGTTTTTCTCACATGCGATTATTATGTAGATTTGATTGTTCTTCGTCCATGTATGCGTGATTCATGTAGGGTGATGTGGTTTATCATTTCGTTTTCGTGTGAAGATTGAAATATTTCATGTTGGTAAAAGTTTTTGTTTACGTTTTGCAAGGTTCGATTCCGTTGCTCGTGTTATGAGATAAGTAAATGCAGAATTAATGCTTATCATGGAGACTTATTAACGTAATAAAGAGAGAACGATAACATCATATGCATGCCTTCATAGATAGGAGGATGGAGGAAGAGAAAACAAGAAAAGAAGAACCAAGAGAATGAGTGAGGGGTGAGAGAGATAGAGAGGGGGGGGGGAGAGGGATGGAAGAAAGAAGAGGATGGGAGAGAAAGAGAGAGAGAGGAGGGGGAAAAGGAGAGAGAGAAAGAGAGATGAACAGAGAACAGGAAAAACAGACATGAAATCTGTTGGATAAAACTAGACTACCCTATGTGCAAGTAGCCTAAGATTTCTTTTGAACAGCGAAAGATTACGGACAAAGAGATAGAACGATAGACAAACAGACTGGAAGGAAATGTTTTGATATTATTGAAATATCCCTTTGAGTTCTGTGGGAAAAACTCAGCTGTTATACCCAGATATTCAGAGAATTTAATGTTCATCCCAAGCTTCAATAACGTATTTTATCATTATTATTGGTAGGATGAGATTTGCTTCTCAAACTTTTATATCTTCTTATCTCCGTATATATATATATATATATATATATATATATATATATATATATATATATATATATATATATATATATATACTATATATATATATATATGTGTGTGTGTGTGTGTGTGTGTGTGTGTGTGTGTGTGTGTGTGTGTGTGTGTGTGTGTGTGTGTGTGTGTGTGTTTGTGTGTGTGCACACACACACACACCACACACACACACACACACACACACACACACACACACACAATCACACATATATATATATATAATATATATATATATATATATATATATATATATATATATAATATATATATATATATATATATATGTATATATATATATATATATATAATATATATATATATATATATATATATTATAATATAACACTATACATATGTATATGTGTGCGTGTGTTCTCTTCATTTTTTGCTTAATTTCGACAAAGAAAATACACGCACGCTATATATTTTTTCTTGTACTTTTATAAACCCAAAATGTCATCATGACATTCAGCTGACATCCTGACAGAGGGACAATCCCGCAATGTCACGCTGACACGAATAATCAGTGACTTGTGGTTTTACTTCTCACTTTCTCCTCGAATCTGAAAAATGTTTGAGTTCGAAATAATCAAAGTAAATTGTTTATTCATTATGGATTTTGCAATTGTATGTCAAAGAAGAAAAAAAATACAGACACGGTTTTGTAGATTGATTTGTTAGAAATAATAAGTTACAAGTATTTCACCATCATTATCATTATTATTATTATCATCATCAAGAATATATTTGTTTTTATTATATTCATTTCCGTTTTCTTTTTCTTTCTTTATCTAGTGTCATTGTTATTAACACTATTATCATTGTTATTATTGTTGTTGTTGTTGCTGCTGTCATTTATATTATTGTAATCATTATCGTTATCGTTGTAATTGTAGTATTAGCAGTATTGTTTTCATTATTATTCTTGTTGTTGATATATTGTTGACGTTGTTATCATTACTATTTCGTTTGTTATCGTTGCTACTATCATTGTCATTATTATTATCAATATTATCATTATCATAATTACTGTTATCATTATCATCATTATTATTGTCATTATTAATGTTATTATCATCATTTTGTTATTCTTATTATCATTATTATCATTATCATATTATTATTATTTTTAATGTTTTTAGTATCATTTATATCATTATTATTATTATAATCATTATTATTGTTGTTATTATTATTATTATCATTATTATCATTATTGATGTTGTTATTATCGTCATTTTTATCATTGTTGCTTTTATTGCCATTGTTGCTTATGCTATCGTGATGCTATTATTACTATTACTATCATTATTAGTAATATAATTACTGATATCACTTCTATCATTATAGATATTGCTATTTTATCATCGTTGTTGTTATAATCATTTTTATTATTATCATTCTTATTATTATTATCATTGTTATTATTACCATTATTATTATCATATTGTTATTATCATCATATCATCATTTACATCATTTTTTCCTAATTACACCTGTAATCATTTTCATTACTATTATTATCTTGTTTATTGTATTAACATAATGTTATTGTTTTAAATATCATTATTATCATAATTAGTAGTATTATTATAACTACTATTATAATTGTTATCATAATTATCATTATTATGGTTATCATTATTATTATTATTGTTACCGTTATCCTATCATCAATTATCATCATCATCACCATCACCAATACCATCACTATCATCACCATGACCATCATCACCTATCACCATCACCACCACCACCATCATCATCACACTATCACTATCATCATCATCGTCACCATCACACCACCACATTATCACACCACACCATCACCACCAGCACCACCTAATTACCATCGTTACCATTGCCATTATTATTACTACACTAACACCCCCAACCCCCCACCCCCCACCCCCCACCCCCATCCGCAGGACTCGCGATGGAATGTCCCGCAGGATTCTTCGAAGCAGCAGGCGGGTGTTTCGTGGTCCACACCCAGCCTAGCACCGGCCAGACCGACCTGGACTGGGCAGGAGCAAGGACTCTCTGCCAAGGACTCTCGGACTCGGTCTGGACTGTCGACTTGGCCGTGTTCGATTCCTCGGAGCAGTTGGCAGCGGTTTCGGAGGCGTGGATCACGATCGGTACGTGTTTCGGAGCTTCGTGCGTCGATAGGGTGGTGTTCGATTTCGTTATTTTTGGCTACGTTATTTTTTTCCTTTATTCGTTTATTTTATTTCATTGTGTATATTTTATTGTTTTCATTTAAATTTGTAATGAAATTATCTGTAATTTTCATCACGAAAACAATTCTGGATTTGCCTCTTCAGTCCATGTTTGTCTTCATACTTCTTTATTTCCCTCTTTCGCCCCTTCACTCTATCTATTCCTTATTCCATCATGCTTTCCCTTCCTTTCTACCTTGCCCGTTAACTCTCTCTCTCATACATTCATTCCCTTCCTTCTCCCTCTCACCCACTCACCCTTCCCTCCTCCCTATTTTCCCTCCCCTCCCTCCCTCCTCTCCCTGCTTCCCACCCTCCCTCCCTCCCTCTCCCCTGCCTCACCCACTCCCTCCCTCCCTTCCTCACCCACGCCCTGCTTCCCCCATTCACACTTCCTTCCTCCTCCTCTTCCTTTCCCTGCCTCCTCCCACTCCCTCCCTCGCCTCTCACTCCACCCCCTCCCATCCCTCCCGCAGGCGCCTCCTACCCCTACGCCTACCCGTACATGTGGATCGGCGTGGAGCGACAGGGCGAGGCGTGGACTTGGCTCGATGGAAGACCCTTGTCGCGCTTCTCCAACATGTGGCGCGTCGACTATCCTGACGAAGCCTACGACACGGGCGTCTACCTCGAGGATTACGGACTGTCCAACGGCGCCAACGTCTTCGGGAGGCTGTACGTCGGGAATTCAGGACACAAGTGGCTGCGTCGCTACATGTGCCGGGCGAAGTAGGAGGTCGGGGTTGTGGAATGGGGGGTGGATCTGCGTCTCGTGGAAGCGCCGTGTTAAGATCTAAGAATATAAGTTATGAAGGAGTTGTCTGTTTGTTTGTTTTCTTCTTGGCCTTTTGGTGCTTTCTCTAGGATTTCCTTTCCAGTAGAATAATTATCAATATTATTGATATTGCTGATTATCATTGCCATCAGTAAAATATTCTTACACCTCCCGAGAGTACACTGCACTACCCCCTCCCTCCATCACGCCCACAGAAAGGGAGGTTCTTTTCCACGTCACGGAATAATAGGTCTTGTAAACAAAATTTTATGGGTTACAACATACATGCAAAAAAAAAAAATCCAATATTTGCTTTGAGTACATACTTTTCGTGTTGCAAGATAAAACGATATGTTATCAAGAGCCGTGTAAATTGTATTGTTATGATTATGTCCTTATCGTGAGATTCTTTACAGATGTCACGGTTTGAAACACGGCTTGATTACTCAATACACACACAGACACAAACGGACGCGCACACCCACGTATATATGTATGCACACACATACATACACACACACATATATTTATGTATGCACACATATATATGTGCATAGATATGTGTGCGTATGTATATGCTTACAAAGAACAATAGAAATGTATAATACAAAAACAGTTTGAAAATTAGGTAGATAACAAGTACAAGGCAACTGACCATTCAACTGCTGAACGGTTAGTTGTTTTAAACCAGCCTTTTTGTCTGGTACACTGACATCATATACTCATAAAACACAAAATCAACAAATTGGTTACACCGGTTCGTAAAAACAGGGGCTTGCTTTGTACTTTGTATAGATATATATATATATATATATATATATATATATATATATATATATATATATATATATATATATGTGTGTGTGTGTGTGTGTGTGGTGTGTGTGTGTGTGTGTGTGTGTGTGTGTGTGTGTCTGTGTACATATACATATATAATTGCACGTGCTTATCTTTATTTTATTTATTTATTATTTTTTTATTTTCATTTTTCTTTTTTATATGAAAATCGCTTTTTGATATGGGGTATATCCGAGAGAATTTTAACTTTAATGAGCAGGGGTCATAGAATTGCAGTAAATGCAGTGCAAGTGCTAAATTTATTTCAATCCAGAAGCCATTTTCACATGAAAAATAACATACGTATACAATAAGCAAATGCATAGACCCATATGTATACATAAATATACAAACATACATATACTTATAATCTTTATTCATTATCAGTTTCATTATCATTGTTATTGTTACCATGATTAAATTCATCCAATTAGCAGGTCTGAAAGAAATAACAATTACTTTAGATTACATTACATATACATGATTATAGTCATACACGATAGGCTTTGATATAACGTTTGAAATTCAATATATATCTCCTGATTACATCGGCCTACAATAGCCCTTTTGATCAAATAGTACATATAGTTTACCTAGGTGGCTTTACAGAGGTAATTCAACTATTTAAGATTCAGTAACCATTATATAATTGCAAATAGATAATGGATTTGATATAACGAAAACAGCTGATTGCAACATCTAAGAAAATCTACGCTTGTGCTATACCAGATTCTTAAGCAATTGTTGATATAGATTGTTTTGTTAAAGGAATATTTCTCATTTGCGAACGATTCATTGATGTATACTTTGTATATTATTTCATATTTACTTTAACATATGATGCAGTGCAAAAAACAATAGTTTTTCCTAACAGATAATTATTCGTACATTGCCTATGTCCACACTCGTGGACGCATTACAAAAATCACCGCCATTTATTCACTTGATAATCGCATTCCACCTCCTCGTCGTCGTAGCCATAAACTACTGATATTTCGCGGGCCCAATCAGCATCTCTAACAGGAAGGAGACGAGCGCTATGAGCAGTCCGGATCCCAGAACCAGCCATGCTCCCTGCGGTATGTAAAGGGACCCTTAGTGTAAACTCCGTGGATTGACGTAGGGAGCATTAGTGTAAATATTTTTTTTAATTAAAGTTAGGTTAATTGTTTTTATTAAAGTTAAAGTTAGGAGCATTAGTGTAAATAGTTTTTTTATTAAAGTTAGGAGCATTAGTGTAGTTTTGAATATGTGTTGTGATTATTTTGTGATTTCATTTCATTGTAGTGTCAGGAATGCTAAATATGCACCGAATATACGTGTATATATATGCACCATATATGTGTTTCTATTTACAGATACTATCAACACCTTTTTTTATTATTATTATCTATAGATATCTCTCAATTTTCATCCAGTCTCAGCCCTTAAATTCTTAAATCCTCCGTCACGCTTAAAAATGTTTGCAAGACGTGGGTTAAAAATTATCATTATTGTTTTTTTTCTGTCAGGATTTTTGTTATAGTGTTGTCATAATTGTTTTTTTCTGTCAGCATTTTTGTCAGTGTTGTTAATTACGCAACATTGCAACGGAATCTCACAACATTCCTCACCTGCAGATTGTCGAAAGAGAGGGCGCTGCCACTCCTGTCTCCCCCCTCCCCCTCCCCCCCTCGCTTCCGGCTGTTGAACAAGATGTCGCTGAACCACTTCCGGACCTGGAATTGCGATAAAGGAAGGACATAGAGAAGGGAATGAAGGAAGGACATAGAGAGAAGATGAAGGAAGGACATAGAAGATGAAGGAAGGACATAGAGAGGAAATGAAGGAAGGGCATAGAGAGGAAATGAAGGAAGGACATAGAGAGGAAATGAAGGAAGGACATAGAAGAGGAAGGAAGGATGGGGAAAATGAAAGGAGGAAGAGAGGGGAAAATGGAGGAAGAGAGGAATAGAGGGGAGAGAAAAGGGTGAGGACAGGGAGAAAATCGAAGAAAAGAGGGAAGAAGGAAGAGGGAGAGTAAAGCAGGGAGTAAAACGTAAGAAAGGGAGGGATGTAAAATGAAGGGACGGAAAAGAAAGGGGAATAGAAGAATGAGAGTAAAATAGAGAAAGAGAGGGAAGAATTTTTTAAAGGTAAACGGAGGAAGGAAGGGAGAAAACAAAAAACAAAAACGAAAGGGAGAAAGAAGTAATCGAAAGAAATGAAAGAGGGAAGAAGGAAAGGTTGACAAAGGGAGAGGAAGGGAGTAAAGGAAGGAAGGTAAAGAATGGAAAAACGAAGAAAAGGAAGGAGATGGAAAAGGGAGAAGGAAAGAAGGGAGAGAAGGAAATGAAGAGAGGAAAACAAAGGGTGAAAGGCAGGGAAAAGGATTAAGAAATAAGGAATGGAAGAACAAGAGAAGCGAATGAGGAGAGAGATGAAAGAAGTGAAAGAAGGAAAAAGAGAAAAGAAAAACAGAAAAAAATTATTCATTTTAATGTTTTATCACGTTAAAAAGAATTTGTGCGTCTTTGTAAACTGCTTGCTAATTAATTTCCTATTTACTATTCGCAATATTCATGTATCCTTTTGAAAGTTTAGTTATTCACGATAAATGCACTAATTTCTTACCTCATTTGCATTCATAACACCTAAACACTAAATAAATAAAACAACAAAGAGAAGAAACAGAAAATACACGAATATACCGAAGGCCTTTTCGCTATATCCCTTCTTCATATTTTTCATTATTATATTCACAGTCTGTTTAGCATTAACCCTAAATATTTATATATTATTCGACTAATTTCCCCTATCTTTCCTTTATCTATCTCCCATCCTTAGCTCTGTTTTTGTCCTATATATATTCCCTCTTTCTTTCGTGTTATATCACTGAATTTTATCTGTCTAATCTTTCTCTCTCTCTCTCTCATCCTACACTTCTTATCTCTCTCTCTCTCTCTCTCTCTATTCTCTTTCTCTCTCTCTCTCTCTTTCTCTCTCTCCTTTCTCTTTCTTTCTCTCTCACTCTCTCTTTCTTTCTCTTATCTCTCTCTCTTCTCTCTCTCTCTCTCTCTCTCTCTCTCTCTCTCTCTCTCTCTCTCTCTCTCTCTCTCCTCTCTCGCTCTCTCTCTCTCTCCATCTCTCTCTCCTTCTCTCTTCTATCTCTCTTTCTATCTCTCTTTCTATCTCTTTCTCTATCTCCTCTTTCTTTCTCCCTCTTTCTTTACTCCCTCTTGTCTTTCTCCCTCTCTTTCTTCTCCCTCTTTCTTTCTCTCTCTTCTCTTTTCTTTCTCTCCTCTCTCTTTCTTTCTTCCCTCTCGTTCTCTTCTCTCTCGTCTCCGCTCTCTATCTCTCTCTCGTTTCTCGTCTCTCTCCTTCACTCGGTCTCTCTTTTCTCGTTTCTCGCGCTCCTCACTCTTTCCGCTCCTCTCTCTTTCCTCGGCATCTTCCTATCTCTTTTCTCCCTCATCCTCTCTCTCTCTCTCCCACCTCTGTTCCTCTCCTTCCTTCTCCTCCTCTCCAGCTCCTCCCCTCCCTCCTCTCCGCCATCTCTCTCCTCTCCTCCCTCGTCCTCCCTCCCTCCCCTCTCCTCCTCCTCATCCCTCCCCTCCTCCGCCTGCCATCTCCGTCCTCTTCCTCTCTCCTCTCTTCTCCCAGTCTTCTCTCCCTCTCTCTCCCCATCGTCGGTCCTCACTCAGTCGGCCCTTCTCCGAACCCTCCCCGGTCACTCAGAAGTTCTCTCCTCATCCTCTCTCCCTCACGGCGCCTTCTTCACGGCAGTCCCAGGCTCGACGACCCGCCTGAGGATCCTGGTCAAAAGTGGTTTTGCTTACGTGGGTCGCCAAATGTTTGCATTCGGCATCGGCCGTTTCGAAAATGTGCAGGGTGGTGTTTAAAATGTGGGTTACGAAGATCCGGTCGTTCGGCGTGCGCTTCTTCGGCATCGCCATTCCGATCCTGAGGGTGAGCGGGACGTGGGTTAAAAATGTTGGCAGGACGTGGGTTAAAAATGTTTGCAGGACGTGGGTTAAAAAAATGTTTGCAGGAACGGACGTGGGTTAAAAATGTTGGCAACGTGGGTTAAAATGTTGCAGGACGTGGCAGTTTGGACGTGGGTTAAAAATGTTGGCAGGACCGTGGGTTAAATGTTTGCAGGAGTGGATTAAAATGTTGCAGAGTGCGGTTAAAAATGGTTTATTCATTATTGTATTTTCTTTCTGTTAGC